TGCAAATATCTAGTTGTTACTGTTTAAAATCTACTCATCAGCAGTAAATTAGACTTTGTGTATCCCTGTGTACCAATCCAATTGCTACAATACTCTACCGGGTCTCCTGATCAGAAAGCATCCACACGCAAATTAATGAGGCTAAGTGGGATCCTGTCACTGACAAAATTTTTCCTTGTCTTGAGTATCTTTTCTCATTCATTTTTTCATGTTGACAATAATAATTTCTTGTAATCCAGGACATCTGCAATTAGTCGCTAACATTAAATCTAGGACTGGCAGCTTGGTCCTCATTTGGAGACGCTTGCCTAAATATACTGTCCTCCCTGGAAATCTGCTGCTCCCCGCATCCCTGTGGCCTCAGCACCCTACGAAAGCTTGCAGCTTTGTTCATGCCCTCAGCCACTTAGGTGCATCATCCTCATTTGGATTTGTTTCCGCAGAGCAGCATTCGCAGTAGCAAAGGAGAAGAACAAGCAAATGTAGCAGCATGCAAAAACTGAAACTTCCTCAAGCTTTAAAGTTACCAAAATTGAAGCACTAATTTTAAAATATACCCAAATTAGCTGCTTCCCTCCACAACACATAAGCGATGTATGTGACTACTGAAACTTGGGTTACCGTCTCAGATCATCACCCTGCGTGCAATGCGCTCCTGTGAGCGTGCAGTGGCTCCAGTAAAACCGCAGCGGAATCACAAAATGGCAAAGACAAACAAAATATCCTGGAGAGTCTTAGATGAATGTAAATAACATTTGTTTTTCTGCACAGCAAGTATGCTACTAGTGAAAAAGCATTTTGTTTCATATATAATTAAATAACGATACGTCTTCAATCATACAATAAAGCAGACGATACTTATTCTTCCCAGTCTTTTGACAGAACTTAAATGAACAAATCCTCTGTAAATTGGCTGTTGATCTGTATGCAGGAAAAATTTGAACAGATTTGCTGGATTATTCATCAAACCATTGTGTCCATTTAATACCTGTTTTTGCTCAAAAGAAAAAGAGGGAAATTTATCTGTCATTGCTAAAAGCTGGAATCAAAATATTGAACTTGATGAATGAATATCAGGACTAGAGAGACAGCATACTCTCTGAAGAAGACGCTGTCTCGTAGCCATGCTGTAAGCTAACAGCAGCACAACAGCAAGGACAAGAAAATGAACGTGCGGTAGGCCATGGAAAGACAGCAACATTAGGTAGCACATTTCAAAACACTGTTCCCACTGAGGCCCCAAGTTTTTAAAGTAGGGTGATTCAGGGCAGGATCAACTTGCCCTCTGGACCTCACAATGCTCCTGCTCCCTGGCTCGGTGATGACGAATAAAAGAAACTATGCTTGGGAAGGGTATGAAATGACAGCCTGCCCAGAGCAGTTTGGACAGCTTTCTAGCCCTACACCTTCACAACCGAAAGTAAGATGAGTCTCTAAACCCTGCACATTATTTGGTTGTATTTGGAAACTAAATGTAAACACAACGTGGTAAATGCCTGGCTACCTATGGACAGACACATCTTTTTGCTTTTCAAGATAATGACAATAGAGCAACAGCTTTGTCATCCCCATCCATCCCTGTACAGATCAGAGTGGTCGGAAATGTTGTAAAATGTATCTCCCAGGGTTATGACTTTTATACACGAGTGCTCTTCTAGATACAGCAGAAGCATTTCTATTCAGAAAGCAGCAGCATTTTCCATGATGACTGGCAGGGTTATTTTGTTTTGCTGTTTGTTTGCTTACATGTTTTCCTTTTTTGAGAGAGAGCAAGCATTTGTTCAACTGACATAGCATTAACGAGTTGCTAATTCTATCTATCCTGCTGCGCTAGTGCCAGTATTTCACACAATAGTATTTTTCTGCCTTGGGAGAATCTGGGTCTTACACAGATGGGAAAAGATGATCTGAATGAACACGGACACACACACACACATATATATATGTATAGGTTTTAATGTGTTGAAAATGATCCCTGTATTTTATTTTAAATCCTTTATTCATAGGGAAAAATTAGTTTTCCATGTGTATTGGAAATGAACACTGATCAAATCATTCCAAAAACTAAAGCAAACCTGATTTTTTCTGGGTCTAGAAAGCCAATAAAAGCATCTTGAAATTGCAGTGACAGGGGAAGGATAAATTGTGTGCTTCAAAACATCTATATCTTCAAACCAATTTAATACTCAAAGGAGTTGAGAAAGAGGGAGGAGGAGCTTTCACTTCATGGCTTTCTTTACATAGAATTTCTTCATAAATGGAGATGACTATCTAGATGGGGAAGTTGCACATAAAGCATTACCAACTTCCATTTACATTAAATTACCTCCATTAAATTACCTTCATTTAAATTAGCTATTATGGCATAGCCTTAGAATACTATACTGGATTTAAACCTGAATTAGACTGTCATTAAAGAGATGGAGTCTAAAAATCCTGGGGTTTTGCTCCATTCTTGAGCTTGGTTTTGCTCAAGCATCACTTTACAGAGCCTCTTTCCTGCTTTCCATTGAGTTCTCTGCTCCTGAGCTTGCAAGCAGTGTCCCTTCGTGCAACCCTACTTCTCCAGCATTGATTTCCAGCACAAACAGGAAGGCATAGTACAGCAGGTCCCAGGTCCACAAGCTGTTTACAATTACTTTACCCTTTTCCATTGTGAGGTTGCTCCAAAATCCTTTGTTCAAGGTAGCTCCTTAATACAGCATCATATACATTTATCTTGTAATTTAAAATACAAAGCTACACTATTTCTGACCTGAAACTGTGAAGACTACATTTCAGAATAAAACCCCAGTTTAGGCACTGATTTGTCATATAAGGAAGAAACCTACAATTTAGCGAAGAGGATAAGAAAGTACAACAAATTTATGTAATTCACCTTGGCGTGGAGAGACTGGTCAGCTCCCAGAGATTACTTAGCACTGCTAAATGCTTGTATATACTTGCTTTTCTTGCAGATTATATGTGACAAGTATAGTCTTGGGGACTTATTGCATAAGACAGACTATTTAAAGTTCATTCATTTTAGTGTAATTCTGACATTTCTAAATTAAAAACAGCCTGCTTCTTGTTCTTGTGGTGTTGGAGAAGCTCAAAGAATCTTCATTATGGAAAATATATTCTCACTTCATAGCGCAGTGTTTCGCATCGGGAATTGACTTTATTAACCACAGTGCACTATATTACAACTTCTCCTATTAATAATTTCTATGTGCATCATGCACTGCACACTGCAGAATCTCCTGGTGAAGTCTAATCTCACTGCCCTAACACTCACAAGCCCTATTCTTGTAGTCGTACAGATTTAATGAGATCCTTTTCAAAACAGGTTCAAGTTTTTGTGGCCCATCCAACTGAACCGCAGTATTTTAAACACCAACACTTCTGATGACAGAATGCAATTTAACTTCACAGAACTGGTGTTCAAATATTAATAGTGAACTTCTTTGTTTGTACAAATCCCACTGTTAAGGCACAGAATTTGGTTAATGGGATGCCATTAGCTTTCGCTTTTATCTGGCATTGTCAGCACATGCATTAAGAAGAACCGTATGAGGATCACACACACCGGGTGCAGGTAGGACAGCAGTGCCTTCCAGCTGCTCTACCCTGACGCAAGTCACCGCGCGGTGGCTTTCCCGGAGCCCTGCTGGACTGGAGAGCCACCCCAGCGCTGCCTCCTGTCACTCCCCAGGGGCAACTGGAGCAGCAGGAAAGGAATCACAGATTTTCTGCAACACCTCTGGTAAGTTTGTACAGTTTTGGAGGCAGAGGCTTAGAAAGGAGACCAAAAAAAAGTGGAAGTGTCATACTAATGGGAAGGCCTCTCTAAGGAGAACTGTGCAAGTTTCTGAACTTTGGTCACACTGTTTATGAAATACATGTATGAAATGTTAAAATCCATTTACTTGGCAGTATTTGGCTTTTAAGAGAGCTTCTAAAGAATGCTGTGCACAAAGATGCCATTTTCATGGAAAACAACAACTGTTCCAGGACATCATACGGCAATCAACCCCTAATCTAAATATGCATGTACATCTCAGAAGATTAAAAATGTTCCACAATCTCCTATATGAAATCAGCACTGACTTTCCTTCTTGTGCCAATTCCATCCTGCTTTTCTCTAGAAAGCACTTCATCTGCAATATTTGGTCAGAACAAATTTCATAAATACTGCTTAGTAGCTTCCATATGAGATATTGTAAAGAGCTATTAAAAAACATGCAAGATTCCCTTTACTTCCTCTCCTAAACCAGATGAAGAAATACATTACTGTGTGGCGTGTATTATGCAACATTTCAGATAGAAGCAATCAGGAGTACCATGTCTAAAAGGGATAATTAAAAGGAAGAAAAAAAAAAAAAGAGCAAAGAATCCTGATTTAAACTTTGGCAGTTCCCATATGACAATGTGTTTTGAGAAAACATCCATATCAACTTGGATTAATGCAGAGTAATTTTTACAGTTATTCTAGCACAGGTGACAAAAATAAAATCTTCACAAGCAGAAGTGACAGATTTCAGTTATTAGGTGATAAAAGCTACCTATCTAATCTAATACTTCTATAATTTCCAGGGACATCTCTTTAACGCTGCACACCTCTTGTCTTCTAAAATATTACCAGGTTCCTGCTAATGCAAGTGATTCAGGCACAGCCGCCAGAGCATTTTGGCAATTTTACCTCATAAAGTAAAGTACACAATGGCACAATTTTATTAATTCAGCTTCATACTCTCTAAGACCAATTTCTGTCATCTTCTACATCAGATCCAGAGCAGTATTTATTCTCCACAGCACATAACATCATTTCCATGGGCACAGTTATCAGTGCAGCAAGTCCTCTTACATGTTCCCTTGGAACATCTGAAAATCATTGCTTAAAAAGAGCACGATGGGACTAACAAAAATCAATATTCTCCTTCAAGAAACATATAATGGCAATAGGATGGAAAATTACCAAGGTTATGTGGGGGGAAAAAACCCAAACCAATAAGCCTTACTTGTGCAACGTGTGAGATGGCCGGTCATTTTTCTCCAGCTGTCCATAGCAGCTAGTTTTTGCTTCAGGAATGAAGGAGTATTTTTCCAGCATGGCTGATGCAGCAGTGGCAATAATCCCAAGGCCATCCCGTACCCGAGCTTCTAAACTGTAGTCCCATTCATCATAAGATGCTGAAATGAGTCCTGAAGGAAACTCCTTGGGAGTGATTTCTGTGTTACCACTAACCAAGCTGGGAACTATCCAAAAGAAATCATAGCCAGTAAGGCCCAGGGAACGAGCCTCATCCAGTATATAGACAGCTTCATCCTTGGAACAATACAGTAGGATGACAGATGAATGAATTTTCTTTAGCTGAATTTGAGTCTTGGCATCTCCAAAGGCGGTATCGAGTACGATGACGTTCTGCATGTCCCAGCCCACAAAACTATTTTCCACTGTGGTCTTAATGACATTGATGAAGTCTCGATATCCAGGGAAGGTGGTGGTCACCAGAGAGAACACGTGCCAGTCATAATCCTGCATGATCTTCAGCATGACAATGGCTTCTTGCTGGATGGAAGCCCCAAACTGGAAGAACGTGGACATCACATCCTAGAATACCAAACACAGTGAAAGATTACTGATTTTGTACAAGTCTGAAGGGAATAGAATCTCTAATTCTTCTGCTCTCTTTGGTCCATCGTGGCTACCAAAGTTTTGTTGCATTTGAATAACTTTCTGTGTCTTATTATATTCATATCGTTAATAAACAACACTGATCATAAGTAAGTACCACAGCTAATTAAAATATTTGCCAAAAAGTGACAAACAGATATTTACGTAGGAAATTTCTGAGTGCTTGATCACTTGAAGACAACAACTCAAACCAGTACTTACTGAGGAGGCTCCCTAGAGACAGCCATCCATTGTTAAACAACTCATCTCCAGCAGGTAGCTTTAGATTCATCAAACTTATTAGGAATGCGACCCAATAAATTCATGCCAATTTTTAGTTACAATGGAAATAAATTGCAATGCACATGCTGTATATGTATGAAGCAGTTCTGCACTTCCAGACCTAATGTCTGAGGGATACTTCATTTCCACAGGTTCATTGGACTTGGTGGAAGCTGTCACTCTGCAGGAGTAGATTTATTGTCCCCAGGTACTGAGTTCACTACTGTTCATGGGCTCACTACTGATCATGCTCCATTCAGGGCACATGGCCCATTGATGCCTGACGTAGAATTACCAGGATGGGACTCCAGGGACAACCAGCAATCTGCCGGTGTCCTCATTAAGGGACTTGAATGGAAGTAAATTCAAACAATGGCCTCATAGTCTGTAACTGGTAGCTGCATCGCCTGACACAGCTGCATTGTTAGTTTGCGAGGAGGCTTGTTTCTAATACTTGTCTTAGGCTTTTACAGTATTCGTAACATTTTATACAGCATAAGGGCAGGTGCCTTTTATTTTAACATCTATCAGAAATAGGCAACACAATAATATATTTTGTTGGCACTAAATTTACGAACATTTTCATTGATCTATTTTTACCAAGTTGCTGTAAGATCTAAATTTGGTTCTGAATTTTACATTCTAGATTTATATACATCAAAATTATTAGAGTACCAAAACGATACACAGGAAGCTATATAATTCTTTGTTTTCATTTTTCTTCAGTAGTTATTCCTGACCAGTAGTGGCAACTTATATGCATCATTTTCAGATACAGAAAGCCTGCTGAAAGAAAAGCTTATGATTTAAAAATAAGATATTAATCATTCAAGATTTCTTATGCAGCCTGTACAGGGAAGACACACATGGTGCTTTTAATTTAAAGTGTTTTCTGAACATGGTTGCGAGCTGCTATCCTATTTTACACTTGCGGGGAACGGAAACAGATTAATTGACTTAGGTTTCATGGCAAGGTGGTGTTAAATATATAATTATTAGTGAGAACAGTAACTCAGCTCTACTAGTTCTGTATTTTATCTACAGATATCGTACAGGGAAGACACACATGGTGCTTTTAATTTAAAGTGTTTTCTGAACATGGTTGCGAGCTGCTATCCTATTTTACACTTGCGGGGAACGGAAACAGATTAATTGACTTAGGTTTCATGGCAAGGTGGTGTTAAATATATAATTATTAGTGAGAACAGTAACTCAGCTCTACTAGTTCTGTATTTTATCTACAGATATCTATTCAGAGCAAACTGAGTGTCTATATTTTTTTAAATAGAAGATGAGGAGTGTTATTACTTTCGAAGTGTTAAGAACCTGACACCAGGATTTTATATAGCTTGACAGCAATAAAAGTCTTATGACTTGTGTCAGACCATGAAGATGATATTGAAGGTAAAAATACACACAACTGGTGGTAATGAAATCAACTGCCACAGCTTCTTTGGTACCTCAAAGATGGCATTCTGAATGCCAATGCCAGATTTGCAGTGGTTTGGGGTTAATTACAGATGTTATAAAACATATTTGGGAGAAGAATTGAATTAGGAAGATTTGATTGCTGAATGCTTCTAGTAGCTATTTCCTGCT